TCTTCCTGGTTTCCACCTCCACTTCCTCCCTCCATTCTGCACTGTGTTCAGCAGGGCTAATGGACTTTCTCTGCAGCTGAAGCCCACTCTGGATATGTTCTGCTCTTCAGCTTTCTTTACTTATTTCTTTTGGTCTAACACTGTCTGTATGGTTTTCTATTTTTTACAAATGAATTTAAAATTATTTGTCCCCTATTACTCTTTTCAGATCATCCTTTTTGTTGTGGATCTGTATTTGATTTATTCATATACATTCATACTTACAGAATCTCTAAAGAGATAAGAAAGAAACATGTTCAATCTGTCATTTTGAATTTGAATTCTTCACACAATTTGTCTTTATACTTTAAAGATCAGAATCTTAAACAAAGACTGAGTCCTTGGTGTAGGAAAATATATTGTAGTGACTCAATAGCGTTGCTTTTCCTGTAATACAAATTTCACAAAATAAAAGACAACAAACAAACCTTTCTCAACTTATTTTGTGCTTTTTTTCTTTAGCATTTTTGCCTGATTATTTTTTTCCTCTAAATCCAAATCATCTGAAGCTTTTCCCTTTGAGATATTTTAAAACTTTTGATTTAACTTTAAGCCATTTCATTCTTTTGCATTTTAAAGTTTATTTTTTAATATTTTCTCTTCTTTTATTTTTCCTCTGGTCCAACTCTGTTCCTTTGTCTACATTTATGTCAGGTTTTCTAAGAATGTCCTTAACAACTTGATTGAAGGGGAACAAGTAAAACTAAAGGCAAGTGGATTTTTCCTGGCCATCTAAAGACTCTCCTGAATTATTTGTCAACCAGCTCTGGGCTTTTAAAGAAAGAGCTCAATGAGGCTGGGGATTTAGCTCAGTGGTTTTGCCGCCTGCGCAGGCACAAGGACCTTCCGAATTTGATCCCCAGTACCAAAAAAAAAAAAAAAAGAAAGAAAGAGCTCAACAACTGTGAACTTCCAGAAGACTGTCACACAGATCTGAGTCAGAATTGTGCCTGAAATCGAGAGACTGCCCTTGCAAATGTGTAGAAGACCTGGTGCAATTTTGAGTTAGATGTTCTGTTTAGAAGTGGCTAATCTCCATGGCTAAACGTGTGTATTTCTGGGCCTAGAAGCATATATTTCACTACCCTCAAATATTATGTCAGTTTTGTTATTTCTTATGCCTTATATCCCTCAGGTCATGAGGAACCAGGAGAAAATATAATTTAATCGGCTCAACTCTATTCCAGCAAGTAGAAAAGGAATACAACATATTCTCCTGACTTTTTGTGTTTGGGTCTTCTTTCATCCTCCACTGTGTTTTAGAAAGATAGTTGGATCAGCAAAGAGAAGAACTAAGTCAGAGTCCTTACTGTGGTCTAATTGGCTGTATAACCTTAACCAAATAATTTCACAGGCCTTGCTCCTTTGTTTAAAAAAGGGAGAGCTGAACCAAAAGATTTATTAAATCTTTTTTCTACGTTAAGAAAAAAACCTCACAGCAAAGGTTCTGTCATTCTGTTCTTCACTATTTTAGTACTTCCTTCTGTTTATTTTTTAAATTTTTCTTCTCATTGTTCTATTCTTTTTCTTTCTTCTTCCACATGCTCCAATATTACTGTTGGTTTTATCCCCCTCCTTTTTTCCAGCTCTTTGTTGTTGTTTTTTTTTCCTTTTACCTTTTTCTGTTATTTCGCTACAGTTTTTCTTCTGCTGGAGTAATTAAAACCATCTTAGAGTATGACATTAAAGCACAAATGTAAAAAGCCAAAAAGCCACCTTAGTTTAAAATTTTTTTCCTTTCCTAAAAGGATGCATAACTATAATATAACACAAGAATTTAACTTAGAGTCCAGAACCATGCCTAGCAGAAAATGTTTTGGAATCTTTTATCTTTTGCCTCCTGAGTGACTTTTTTTATTTTGCTTTCTTATTTTATTTTATCTAAACAGAGAATGGACATTCTTTGAAGTCTAATCATGGTCACTGCTGATGAACTCAATGTACCAACTTCCCAACAGTTCATAGAATATTAGAAGATTTTTACATTTTGAAGAAGGGGAACAAATCTAAGACATAATTTGGTTGAACTATTGAGAACTAACATGTGGTGGATTATGTTTTTTAGAATTTAAAATAGATGTGTAAATTTGGGTCATGATATAGGTTTGAATCCACGTCAGTTTGGATGTGTGATTTTCAGGTCATCTAAAGTTTAAAAGTAATATTCATGATTTCTGACTTGTTCTGTGTCATTTTTATAGTCATAAAACAAAAAGCATTATGATTGTGTCTATTAGAACATATCTATCAGATACCATCATGTATCCAATAGATAATGCTGTAACCAAGTGGATTCTAGAGCTGCATCTTCTGACAGATAGCCTTGCAAACACAAGGGTTGTAACTGCAAGGTGCACTGCAAGTATTGGTTTTATATTTTTATGTCTCAAAATTTTCATATCAGATTCCTTTTTAGACATTTGAGCCCATGAATTGCCCTATTCTTTTGAATGTCTTGTAGCTTTGGTACATCTGACTTCTCCAATCTGGAAATTTCAGTTTTCAATAGCCTTGATAATGCCTTATGAACCAACTTTCATTGCAGCCCAAAGAAAGCCAGAAGTTGTGGTTTGTGCTGGTCAGAGACCAGTGAAAATTACAGTTCATATCGGGATAACCCTACACACTCAGGTTGGAATGCCCAGATCAGAAAAGAACATGAAGTTCTGGTCTAGCTTTCTTGTGGAATTCCTGCCCAAATCTAATTTATTTCCATGGAAGTGTCCAAAACTTTTGGCAGGCAGGAAATGTGCCATGATACAGAGAAAGGAGATTCTTTGGAGCTTTTATAAATAGTTCATGGTGAGGATAGGACTGAAAATAGACCACTTGCCCTTGTATGAGTTTAGCATCCTAAGCATGCTCAGTTGCTCACAAACTAAACCAGAGAGCTTAGAGATGAACCCAAATAATATTCAAACAGGCTCTTTATGGATTACTTATATTTAGATTTTACTCATAATTTTACTAGGATGTCTTTAAAAAAACCTAAGAAAGCAGGAAGAATGTGTCTTTTTTCCCCCTTCATTGATGGTTTTTTTTTGGTACCAGGGATCGAACTCGGGTCCTTGAGCTTACGCAGCAGGCAGTGAAACCACTGAGCTGAATCCCCTGCCCCCATTGATTTTTAACAGATGACATTTGAGTGCAAAATCTAAGTGCGAAATTATGAACAGATATTCTTCAATTCTTACCAGCTGAGTACATATTTAATATGTGCCTAGACTGTTCTAAAATCTCAAAATATTAGCTATTTGTAAAATAATTTTAACCAAACATACTTTTAGTTAAGCTTTGTGACTCATATATTTCAATATTATATGGGTATGGGATTTCTTAGTATTAGTGAAATCTTCCATCTGAATGCATTTGAAGATGTGCAGTATTTGGTTTAAACAATTAGTTACCTGTTATGAAGTTTTAAGAAACAGTAACTATCTCAAACAGGAGCACATTTGAGCATGACTGCATGTTATGGGTTATTTGTGTGTATTTTTTAATTCCATATTGATAACATTTAATTCCTTTATTTGGTGATCTTAATTTCCAAGTTCATTTAAATTTTAAAACAATAAATTGTAAGCATGCACATATACAAACACAAGAAACTTTTAGAAGAAACCAGAATGACTAAGCAAATATTTGAAGGAAATCACAGATTTACAGATTTCTCAGAAAGAAAATAAACACAGGATGTCTTCCCTTCCTAAATCACGTTGGTAGAATAACAGAAAAAGTTGTATTAACACAGTATTTGTCATTATGCAGTATTTTAATACCTATGTGATTTTATTCCACTATTATTATATTTAGTGTTTGATATATTTATTCATTCATAGTTTTAACCACTAATATATTTCACTTAATAATTTGAAGATGGGCTAAATAAATTGTAATTTTATATGGACTATCCTTGCCATTATGAAGAACAGTTGAGGACGTCATTATCTCAGGCAATACATGTGAATTCATTCTATTCTAAAAAATGTAAAATTCAAAAGTTCAATTACATGTATGATATATAAACTGAACACATTTTCTGTAGGACTTGATTCAGTTGTGTTAATTTTTCAATGTGATGTATCCACGGTATTTTTTATTTTGGATTTATTTTTTCCATATATGTTTCCAATATGTTCACATTGTATGAATTGAGCTTTTTACATACAGATTCTTGATTTGTACCTGCTTGTAAGATTTTTGTTGTGATGTAACCATCATTCCTATAAAAATATGATCTGCATTTGTCTTGTGTATTTGTCTTCATTCCATGTCTATAGTATACATTTTTATATGAAGTATTTATAAGGAGTAGTAATTTACAAGTCTGTTACTGTTTCTTCCATCATTGTTTTCAACACATAACCATTGTTAGCTCTTTCATACACCCTCCAACAGATTCTTAATAGTCACAGTTATTTTATCTGTGTATCACGTTTTATGTCATAGAATTGTTACTTTAAGTATCTTGAGACATGTTTTGCTCATTTGATTTCATTTCTATCTATTTTTTTCTACTTGGGGTTTAAATTTTCAGTTTGTAGGAATGTAATTTACCATCAATTATGAGGAATTCTTCAGAGGATAACATTCTCCATTACTGTAATGATTGTTTATTGAAAGCTAAGCACTTACAGATGCGATCTTATTTCTAATGACAACACCATGAAGCAAGCGTTAAACTCATTTTTACAGAAGAAGCAACTGAAAGGCAGAGAGGTTAATGTACTGGTTCGTGCTCACAGAATGAGAAGAACTCAAGCCTAAGTCTGTTCCATCCCATACAAGCTCCCTCTCCTTTACGATTTTGATATATGTTTTAGTCCAAAAGTGATTAATTTGTGGTAGAATTATGCCCCTTCTTATTAGCTCTACACATTTGCATTTCTGCAAGCATGGCCTAATGAAGTAAAAAAAAAAAATTAATATAATTGAGCATTAAAATGTGTCTTTTCTTTTAGCCCGAAACATTTGAGCATCTTTTTACCAAGCACACAGGATCAGTCACCTTTGTTCCTCTTCTTGTGGAGCCTGAAACCATTTCAGAAGACCTCAGTATCGATATGCCGTGGAAACATGCAGAAGACACGGCGCCAGCAGCTCTGGTCTCACTGCTTTTGACGGCTCCTGATCCGGAGAAGGGCTCTGTCTGCACGAGTGACCGGTGTGACAGCCCTCTCTTCTCGGACAGGGGGAACTCTGAGGTGAGTTGGGAGCACGACAGCCCGGGGCCGCCCTCGGTCAAGTACGCCACGCTGGTCAGCAGCTCCAAGTCAGGTGAAGCCGGTGAGCGGCAAGGACTTCTACACACTTCCGTCAGCAAGGGCTTCTCTGGCAAGAGTTCTCCACTGAGAGATTCTTTCTCGAATAGCTCGTGGGAGATAGAAACTCAAGCAATTTTTATATTATCAGATCAGCAGTCTGACATGATTTCACCACACCTTTCGTTCTCAGAAGGATTGGATGAACTTTTGGAGCTGGAGGGAAATTTCCCTGAAGAAAACCAGAGTGAAAAGTCTATCTATTATTTAGGGGTCACCTCAATCAAGGAGAGAGAGAGTGGTGTGTTTTTGACTGAGGAGTCCAGAGTACTGTGCCCTTTTCCGCCCCACTGTTTATTTGCTGACATTAGCATACTCCAGGACAGTTGCTCACACTTGGTGGAAAATAATTTCAACTTAGGAACTTCTGGCAAGAAGACTTTTGTGTCTTACGTGCCCCAGTTTCAAACCTGTTCTACGCAGACCCATAAGATAGTGGAAAACAAGATGTGTGACCTGACTGTGTGATTCCACTCAAAAAACCTTCAGATTTGTGTTCTGATGGATCATAGGAAGTGTCCCGGGTTCCTTTACGGTGTGGACAGGAGAGAGAAAAAACTGTTCCAGGTCCAGTTTGAAAATGATTATGTCAGAATTATGGATGTCTGTCTGTCATTGCTCAGGAATCTAGACCAAACAAGAAATGTGAGGAAGCCTTTGTGAGCTGAGGCGAGTCTGTGGGCTGTTCCAGATTCTGTTCATGAACTAAACCTCTGGGTCTAGCTAGAAAAAAGCCCAGCGAGCACCTCCTTTCGTGAACCTTAGACCTGTGTAGAAAGAACTAACCTCTATTGCAGCAACATCTCTGAAGGAAGGTTTCAAGTTAACATTTGTGAGGTATAATTGTTGTTTCAAGGGTATGTTTGTTTCCCCTTGCATTGTTCTTGTTTTGCACTAATTCACACACATACAAACTTATGCTTAATCTAGGTACCCTTGTGCGTTTTGGAAGTACGTGATGTGTTTGTATTTTTGTTACCAGACTGTGTAGTAGGAAGTAGGCATTTCATTAAATGACGAATGTAGAAAAATTAGCCCTGGCCTAAGAGGTTGGTCTTCTGAAGACGGACGAGTTAGCAAGTGGTGATTTGGCAAATCTGAGACATGATCCACAGAAGGAGACTGCTCCTTGGAATGGCAGGACCCACAGCCAGTTCTGATGAGGACACGGGCAGCTCTGGAAACACAATGCCAGTTGTAACTCTGCGCTCCACAGTGCATTCAAAGGGCCACTTTGTGATCCAGTTTGGTTGCCAGGCGTCACTGTACCTGAAGGTGTGTGACTCACTGTCATCTGACCCATTCTCCACTTGCACTTAAACTGTTTTTCACTCACTTCCTGAACATTCTCTTTTTATATGAACCAACCACTGTGCTAATACTATAACTCATTTACTGCAATAATTGTAGGAGACATTTGTTACTGTTACACTCCTTTTAAAGATTAGGAGATTAAGTAATTTGTCCCAGGTCACAAAGTTACTGGGTGATGAAAAGTTTATTTCAGTATTATAATGTTTGATTGGGTCCTGGTGAAAACTATCTGCTGTTAAACGGTAGATTGGTATAAAAATTTAGAGAAAATTTAGAGTGTTTTATACTTTGGAATGGTTAGTTACTCCCCCCTCCCCACCAGGTCTTCTTTAAAAATAATTTAAGGAAACCAGGAGATAAAATACAAGCTTTGGGCTTTTAAGCTTATCATAAAGTTGAAACTTTTATTTTTTAATTTAAAGACTGTTAATGACAGCATAAGCTACTAATCAGTCTCTTTAAATTTTAACTTTATAAAAAAATTTATGAAGAGAAACTCAGAAATTAATCACGAGTTATGACTTCAAGTGCAAAAAGATTGTTCAAAGCTAAGTTATGGGTCAAGATTTGCAGAATTTTATATTTTCCATTTTTGAAACCCCCAAATTCAAAGATTAAAAAAACCTAGGCATGCTTCCCAAAGAGGATTCTGTTGGAATCCTATGTCCCCTTTTGAGATGAGCTACAGGTTGGCAGGAGGATCGGGAACAGATATCCTTTTTTCTTTAGAGCTAGTCTCCAAATAATAGAAGGAACCCGATGGGGTTCTCAAGCCAGTGGCAGATACTGGGGTTGCAATAAGGATTTATAACCCTGGTCACAACATTCTTCTAAGTCCTCTTGTCTTATTTCAAAAAAACCACCTCTCTTTCCAAATATGAAACTCATGGTCACATTCCTTCAGGAGAATTGATACTAACCCCCAGAAGGTGGAGAAAGATCTCCTTTGGCTGGAAGGCCTGGGTGTGGGGCATGCTGGCCCCCCGTGGAGCTGGAAATGTGCACATGAAGACCTCACAGCCATGGTTCCCGTGAGGGACCTCTCTAAACACCACCTGTGGTCTGCAGGAGAAATTTCTTCTGATTGCTATCTTCCAAACAGTCAGCTTGAGGTTACTTTCACAAACTCTCATGAAACATTTATTATTGAGGACACTTATTCTCAAACCATAAAACACAAAAGTGAAATTGTCCACACTATTGTGATTAAGCTAAGTTGGATTTGAAAAAAAGTAAACGTGAGTGTAAAAAACATGAAGAGCTATTCATAGAGAGTGAGGGAAGCCAGCAATTCCATTTCTTGAACAACTAGTTTAAAACAGGAAAGCACTTCTGTTCCTATTCACAGTGTGCATGGAACAGCTTCAAAGACCAAGCTGTGTATGAGAACTGAGGTACCGTTACATGTGTTTGCAAGCATCCCATAGGGTTTTATATTGAACGAGTTATTTTTATACAAAGTTTATCAAAATTTATTTTAGAAAGCTTCTGAAAATGTCTATTTTTCAAAATTAATTGTGCTTAAGATGTATGGCATTAAGTTTAATTTTATGAGGACCTCTGACAGGTTATTTTAAATAACACTTAAAAAACCTGGAGAATGAATTTGGAAGATATTTAATTTTGTAGTGACAAACATATGTTGTAGATATTGTACTTCTGGTACCTGTCTTTGAATATTTGGCAAGCAGCGAACTTTCTGTTTAGTCACCATTGGTATGGTAATAAATGTTATTTAAGTGTTGAAATACATATCACTAATTGTTCCATAAAATTATCCCATTTCTCCTTCATGTACCCAAATTCATAAAGTTTTGTATGAACAGATATTTTCATCTTTCTATCATTGTGAATCATAAGCAATGTTACTATTTTGGGAAATGAAGGTCCAAGGAGAATTATGAGTTTAAGTTATTTTAGGGTTATTTCATCCACTGTATGAAGAAATAATCTTTGTCGTACATAAATGGTTCATATAAAATTTTCATTCATCATCAGCCCTTGATTGTGTCCTCAAAATTCCTGCAAATATATTGCCTTGTGTTTGGAAGGGATCACAGACATTTCCATCCACAGGCTCGCTTTCACTGTTGCTCTCAAAACCTGCACCGTGGATCACCCCACACCGGGTTCTGTGGGCTCCCCAGCCACTTGTGATGAAAAATTACTCAGCTTACTCATTTTACTCAAGCGCTCTTTAATTTCATCCATATCTCTTTAGCAAGGCTTGATTTATAGTGATTGACGAACATAAATTTTTGTCAGTTAGGTTTCTAGTAAATTGAGTTTTTGCCACTATTTCAGCTAGTATTCAGACTTACTGTCCTTTTTGCTTTTTTATTTTAAAATGTAACTAAAACAAATGTACACAAGAAAAATTTCAAACAGCATGTTGGAATATGAAATAAAATTGAGTCTTCCTTCGCTCCCAACGTCAGCACTGTACCCCCAAATAACCTTTGCTATGACCCTACTACATTTTTTAAAAAATGCACATTATAGAGATAGTGGTCTGCTTGTTAGGAAATTAATTCTTTTCCCATAATATATCTCGATGAGTTTTCTATATAAGCTTAAATGTACCTACTTCATTATTTTAGTAGTCGCATACTATTTCACTTATCAAAGAACAATGATTTAACAATTCAAGATTGGTGAACTTGTTTCTAATTTTGTGTTTTTATGACCAATGCTAAAGTGAGCATTCTCATACATAATTATGTCTTGAATGGGCATACTTTTGTACAACTACTTATCAAGGCTCTTGATTGCAAATGTAAGGAACCAACTCAAGCCACACATAGTGATACACCCCTATAATCCCAGCTCTCTGGAAGGCTGAGGCAGGAGGAACACAAATTTGAGCCCAGCATGGGCAATTTAGCAACTTATTAAGAAAGACCTTGTCTCAAAAAAAAAAAAAAAAACAGGGGCTGGAAATGTAGTTCACTGCAAGGGCTCTGTGTTCAACTGAGTCTGCAAAGAAAACAGAAGAGAGAGAACCTTGGGCTCATGTGACATTTGGCATCACATATTACTCTATCACAAGATATCTCTCAGTTATCAAGTTAAAATTTATTGGAAATGTCCACAATCCAAGGTTTTACTGTATTTTAACATGGTATTTCCTGAAGTTCATATGCATATTATTTCTATATTGGCTTCCATTGTTTTATGTCTTGTTTTCCTATTCATATATTTAGTAGTTTGTGTTTATTATACTGGATATTATGAATAATATGGAGGCTCCGGATTAAGTTATCCTCTCCTAAAGAATGTTGAATTTTATCCTTCCAAGCAGTCTAATTATTGATGGGTCACTTCGATCCTATTGGGCTAGGCTCTAGGCTGCTTGAGGGAGGGTATAGTTTTGTCACATCCTCAGGCACAATCTTTACTGTTCCTCCTAGAAATGACCTTTCCAGGTGGCAGATAAGTGTCTTGGGTGTTCACTAATGTTTTTCTATTTTGGCTGAGCTGAAAATATAAATCTTCCCTAACAATGTTCCCTTAACCACTACTAAACTCTTATTCTACAAGCAGTTTAGGGTTTGGCTAAAGACCCCAGGTAAACCAGGTGTGCGCTTTTGAAGAATCCTCCCTAGAGTTGACTTGTAGGAAAATCTTATCCCTACGTCCCAACTGCCTTGCCTTTTTAAATTTATTTACTTATTTATTTTTTGAGATGAGGTCTCACTGTGTAGTCCAAGCTGGCCTTGAACTCACAGCGATCCTCTGCCTTGCCATATAAACCTCTGCTTCCCAGTTGGTGGAGAAAAAGTCCAGGGAGACCGCCGCGGTAAACACGGGGCTCGCTCTTCGTGCCTCCTCTCCTCCTCTGCTTGTGCTGCCCTCTAAAGCCAGGAAGCCCTGTGTTCTGTTTTCTCAGGTTTTGCAGTTGTTGATGGGAGAGTAAGTCCGACACAAGCACTTTGCCATGCCCATGACTGGAAGTGTACAAAAATTCTTTATGCCTTAAAATCTGTCCCTTCCTGAATACATGTAGACATTTCTTATATTTTCCATTTATATTTCAACTGTAGTGTTATTGCCATTAATACATTTTGCATTTTTACAGTTACCTTTTCTCACTTTTCCTTCATGCATTTTGCATCATGTTTAGAAAAGTATTACAAATTTGAGTTCTTTCTTTCTTTCTTTTTTTGGTACACAGGGATCAAACTTGGGTCCTTGTGAGGCAGGTGGCGGAACCACTGAGCTAAATCCCCGGCCCTCGAGTACTTTATCAATAACCAATTTTATGCTGTTTACTGCTATAATTTGGGAATTTGTATTTTTAGTTTATTTGGAACTTATTTTGATGTAAGAAATAGAATAATGATCTAGCTTTTATTTTTTTTCTCCATGTGGCTAATCAGTTCTCAGCAGAATTTGATTTTGAGAAAACAATTAATCTTTTATTCCATTCACATGAAATGTCACATTTAGCAATCAAAAATTCTCATGCATATGTGTTTATTTATTTGGGGGCTTCCTATTATTTTTCATTGATTGTTAAATCCATTTTCTCTGGTATTAAATTTATTAATTATCAAAGCTACTCAATAAATTTTAATATCTGGAGGGCTAGACTCCCTATCTTGCTCATGTATTTTCCAGAGCAATTTTCATTAAAGCAAGTTTTTGCAAAAAAAAAAAAAAATTCTGTTGGTATTTCAACTAGTTAAAAGTGTTGAAAAATATCATTACAACATTTATTATTCCAAGATTGTATGTCAATTTTAAAACAAACTTGGGAAAGATATTACTTGTATCTTTTTAAAAAATGATCGAGAGAAATCATTCATATCGTATTTGCGGTATTAAATTTTCCCCAGAATCCTAGAAATGCGGTAGTTGCCCGTCGTCATCAGTCCAGGCTGCTATAGCAAAGCCCCACAGGCCAAGCGGCTTGTCAACCTGGAAGCTGCCTTCTTTCCACTCTGGAGGTGGAAATCTGAGCTGGGTACCCGTGTGGTCAGGGGTGGGGGTTCTCTTCTAGGCTGCCTTCTTCCACTTCTCTTCATATCCTCACAGTGCAGAAGGAGCGGATGTAATTCCCTCCCGAACGGTCTGCCCTCTAGGATCATAAAATGGGATTTCAGCATATGAATTTGGGAGGGGCATAAAACTTCAGGCTATGCCAGTGCTCCAAATGTTATGCCTTAAATGTGGGGCTGTCATCCCACCGTGTCTGTCCTTGACATATCACGTACAGCGACTCCTTTCCTGGGGGTCACACAAGAGGAAGCAAAACTCCACCTCCACCCGCTCAGCACCCTTGCTGGGTGTGAGAATTAAACTGACAGAAGAGAGATTATCAGAAGGGAAGCATACACATGTATTTAATACCAGTTTTCCATGGCTCAGGAGCTCTCACAAGGAAATGAAAACTCAAAGGAGTAGTTAGAGACAATCACTACTGAATTAGAAAAAGAATGGTAAATTGCAAAATGTGGAAAGGTGAAGAGGTTTGGGCTGAGGGAGCTAATTGGGCAGAAAAATAAGTTTAAGAAGTTTTGTTTGTATGGATTCCCTAGTCTTCAGTTTCTTAACTTTGATGATAAGAATGTTGCTTTTAGTCTGCAGATGCAGCTCAGGAATAGAGGGCTTGCCTGACATGCAGGAGGCCCTGGGTTCAATCCCCAGCACCATAAATAAATAAATAAATAAATAAGTATTTTTAAAAAGCTCTCCCTGTGGAATAGGGAGGACATTTTTTTTTCAAACGAGAATTTCAATGCATACTTTTTCAAAGCTGGATAAGGCCAGAGTGCTTGTGTACCTGCTTTTCTTTTTAAGTTCCTTTAATTCAAAATTGTCAATATACTAACTAGAGCAGCTATTTTGCAGTAACATATTCTTACTCTTTCAACTTACATGTGTCCAAGTTTAGACAACAAAATATATGGTCATCCTAAGGGTAGACTCAGTCTTGCTGACAGTACTTGTTACTGCTGTTTCTGTCACCTCAACCCCAAATTGGTTTAGGCTCAGAACACCTGGAAATCATGGTACTCTCTAAAGGCCATCGAGAAATTGATTTCCCTCCCTTATAACACCGGAAAACAGCTACCTACTAGCAAACAGCTGTTATTTGTATCTAGTCTTCTGCTTCTCCAAACTTTCCTTATTCAGCAATGTGGTGAGTTAGATGTTCATAAAAATCCTTTCCAATATAACATAAACCAAAAACTGCTGCAGAACAATATTGCTTTAGTGTACAGATACATGAAACGAAAGAATTCCAGAGGAGGGGACTCAGTGTGGAGTCTGATGACCTCCATGCCTACCGCGGTTGGATCCTCTGCGTCTGTGCTGCAGAGGTGTGTGAACCGGAAGCTTAGTTCTCACCTGGTGAAGCTGAGAGGAAGTGGGGCCGCTAAGGAATGGGGCTCACTGGGGGTCCTCAGGTTGTTCAAAGGTGCTGCCCGCAGAAGGACTAAGCTATTCTAGCTGGATCCTGAGTCAGTTCTGACAGAGGTGAGTTCTTGTGAGGGGCCCTCCCCGCTCTCTGGCTTCCTGTCAGCCTATGCCCTTTCCCTTTGGGTATTTCACCGCGTTGTTTCCATTTCATAATGGAAAACTGATAGGCACAATTACCTACAGCCTAGTTTTGAGAAGGTAACATTTAGGGAAACAAAACAATGGAGAGGACCCCAGATGGGAACAGGATAAAACTGTCTAGGAGAGGAAGATTTTAGGGCTTTTGTGACAATTTTAGTCATTGCTCTGGAGTGAGCTGAAAAAAAAAGGAAGCGAAAGCACAGGTGAACACAGATTTCCGCTCTACAGCTTTCAGTCCTTAGATTTCGAGTTGGGAATCTCACTGCCTGTGTTCCAGAAAGACAAGGACGCACTTAGTTTTAAGAGTCTCAGACTCAAAGTATAAATTAAGAGCAAAATACAAGGCAACAGGAAACAAGGAGATCCATCTTCCGCAAAAGACCAGGCGACTGAGATTATTACAGACAGCTAAGT